GCCGATTAGTAAGAAAGTTTATTTTGTCACGTGGAATATATATTTGTGTTCTTGGAATCAGTACTGGTTACAAGTCCATAAACCCCGACTCGCGAGTCACGGGCCATCTTAGTCTCTGGTTAAATCGGTGGTCTTTCGAATCGGAGTGATAGAAACATTGTAATGGATAGGTATAGGTGAGATTTTCAATATTTTTTAAAATGCAATTTTGCGACATTTCCAGTTAGACATATTTTTACACGCTTTTTTTCAGCATCATTTAGCTCTAAGGAAATTGGAAGTGTGATGGTGTAAGTACATTCCCAACGCTTATCCCAAGCGTCAACGGCAGAGTCCAAATACGGAAGTTGTTATTCAGGACTTTCAGACTGTTTTTCAAATCTCGCACTAACAAAGAAGCCGAAACTACGCTATAAAGTTGTCAATAGTACTATTGTATCGCCTTCCACAAAATCGGATATACTTGCGCGTCATATAGGTACTTTCTGTTGTGTAATTCATGAAAAGGCTTTCCCTTATCGATGACCGAATACGATCGAAGTAGTGCAATCTCTTGCGACAGCATTTTCCAACCTTTTGTTTGTGCATGCCCAGGGGGGAAAATTCACACGAAAAAAAAATGCTGCTTAAAAATAAAACTCATTTTGTGTTTGTTAATGCGTACTTTATGCCTTTGAAGGTTTGTAAACATGTAGGCAGGAATAAAGGTCAACTCTTCTTTTGCATCTCTGCCTGAATATTCCTTAGCGCACCTTCCGGGGACCGCTATCTTAGGCGCTTACACTTTATTTAACCCGGCGTTCGGTTCATTCCGCATCGCCAATCCTGTTTACCAAGAGTGCCCACTCACGCCCGACTCGACGCAGCGCAGCTTTCGGATTAGCGAAATTTATAAGTAATTACTGGTAAAAAATTCTTATGTGAAAATGTTTTTTTTGCATTCGTAATCAAATTTTGCGGCCATAAAATCACTACATGCCGTTTATTATGCAATCAAATTGTTACGTCGCGAGATTTCACTAATTTCATCAAAATATGGGATGCTTGAAAAAAGGTGGCAACCGCTGCTATATAATACCGGCGAAGTCGTAAATCGCTTACGACCTGTTCAAATGAATAGCTATTTAACCATTCCGTGTTCCGACATGTACCGGTACCGGACGAGAGATGGTGGTATGCCATATTATTAGGCCGTCTTATTTTCGACTTATTTCCTCCCTAAACAAATATATAAACCCTGTGCCACAATGAAGTCATCTTATCGGCTTTCCTCCCCGTTTCGTAATATAAACCCCCCACTATAATGCCGGCGTGGATCGCTAACAGCGTGGATCAAACATTCCGATGTTTACTTCGTCGACTACTACAAAGTTTTATTACGTCATAAATACATCGTGGAACGAACTTTAGATCGTCGTACTTTGGTCGGACTCGCGTGATTCTTGGAATGTTATTAATGTTAAAAGTTGGAAAACAAATTAAATCTATTGGGAAGTTTTCGGAAATCGAAATTAAATGTTGTCGAATCGTTTATTTGTGGATATCTTGGTGGATGTTGGATGATTTACATTGTGAGATCACGGCATCCGTCATTTTTTTTGTATATAATGACGTGAAACGTCGCTTACACTTGTCAGTTATCTCTCACTGCAAATGCTGCAGAGTTGCAATTAAACAAACATTATTAAACAATCAGATAATAAAGATTTCACTAGAAAAGATTTTATAGCGATTTCGAAGGAATGATTATTTTCAAAAGAATTTACTTTTAACAAGATCACGCGGTGACGCATTTACTATTGAAGAAGACTCGTAGCTTAGCAAAGTTACTGGAACTGTGTAGATTTATTGTGGTGAATCACGCGCCAACCAATGGCACGGGACTTTTAACAGTTTTGAGTAGTTCAGTCAACATCTATGAGGTACAACAGCCCGGAAGTTCTATACAGTCGCGTCTTTTTTGTGTGTGTTATTTCTGGCCAAAGCCTCGTCTTACAAGGTTTGTGTTTTTTTGTGAGTGTGTGCTGTAGAGCGGGCACATGATATTTCTTATGTTTTAAACATTTTTAAAGATTTGCTCGCTCTTAAGAATTCTCCCATTTTTTAATTTGTGCGTATTATGGAGTTTTCAAAATAATTTAACTACCTATCTCTGGGTAGTGCGTCCCGAAAACTGATTCGGGTTTGCTTTCGATATTTTAGAAGTATCACGACTTGAAGCGGGCTATATATAGGTGTATCCTTATTGAGTACGATGCGGTACTTGAAGATTTACGTAAGTGAAGAGCGTGACGCACGCTCACGTTACGACAACAGAAACGAGAGAAAATCGCTCCTCGCTATTCGACCGTTGTCAGTTTATGAGAAATAAAAATAAATTTCACAATCATTTTGATAAAAAAATGCCAAATAAATAGATTTTGTTTGATTTTATTTGTATTCATTATTTTGTTGTACGGCATCATCATTTTCCATGCGATTAACCCATTTCATAGGCTTTCTCGCTTCATAGGCCCTTCAAAATGAATTTTGAAACATTTATGAATTTTAAACGGTAAACTGGACGGTTATTTTTATTTATCGCAAATGCGTCTAAAACGAATGACTGTTTAACTATTCCCGCATCCGACGTTCGCTGATAACTAGACGATAAATCTTGGTTCGCCAAATCAAGCCGTTTCCCTTTCATCAGAGACAATGCACAACAATATTGTTATATACCATTTATGCTTCCATGTAATAAAAAAAAACAGTCAAGTTGATTCTATAAAACCTTTTTTGAATTATATTTCTTCGGTGGACCACCAAATATGTATTTTTACTCTCTGGATAGATCCAAAAACTCATTTTTAAAACAGAATCGAATTCTTAATGGCAAAATACACGCATAGCGACATACCGTAGCAACGAGAGAGAAATTGTCACCGGCGTTTTTAAATGACGTAATCCCAAACAAGCGTTCTGATTGGCTGATAAAAAGTGGCCTGATTTTGAGCCGACACCCATGCGATGCGCTTCGAGAATTTTATTTAAATTTCAAACATGATCGTTCAGAATTATATTATATTCGAGTGCTTATGTATGAGTTAAGCACGATTTAGATTTCGGAATTTGGAAATTTTTGAATGAAAAAAAAAATCTCCGGAATATCTTCGAGGTGTTACTTTTTATGGTGAATTTCTTCGACTCTCGGTTAGTTTGTGAGTGAGGCGTGGGGCGCAAGGTTTCTTATTTTCATAATAGTCTTTTAGTCTTGAGGTAGGTTGGCTTGTGTTTTTGATTATGTTTGAGGTTTCAGAATTCTAATAAGTTTGGTTAGTACCGCCGGGACATCTACTACTGACTACCGGTACCTGAAACGGTATTATATCAGTATATTAACCGTAAGCCAATATACCGGTACCGTTCGTTTTGAACTTTCAGACTTTCGCAAATCAGAAAATCGTAATGTCAGTAATGTATCACGGTACCAGATGTTATTTCATCTAAGTCAGTAAGCACTGTATCGATTAGAAGATTATTACTGTATTAGGACAGGATTTTATGGTTGAGTATTTAAGTATTGCTGTATTGTGCCGCAGTGATATATTGATATTAGATATCTAGATATCGCAAATAAATTCAAAAATTGCTATTCCTTTATTCCAATTACTAAAATGTTTTCCGTAAATTGGTCTGTTGATATAGTGGACAGATTGGTATTATCAAACACAGATAAACACAAATCATTATGTATCGAATAGTAACCTATGTCTGTATATTCAGTAAGTTACATGCTAACATGAGATGTTCACTGCCTGACTGCTTTAAACTAAAATTTGAAAGGTTTGAGGCAGAAAAGTGAGGTGTTTCAGATTACTGGTTTAGTGTTTTTGTGCGATACTTTTGACAATATTATGTATTCAGCCATTGTATGATTGTTTCTTATTTTTGTTTCATTATTCTTTTGCCCTGTTAAGCTAATGAGGAAATATTTGATTTGATTTGGACTAAAATTCTCCCAGACGTTGGTCAGATAAGTTTTATTTATTCTGCAATCAAGTTTTGTTTGTAGGAGATAAATTTAATGACATTCTTGTTTGCTAATCATCAACATAGGTTATACTTATAGTGTTTAAATATTCCCGAAATGATGTCATACTATATTTTTATAAAGTTATTTTTACCCTCTAGATAAGCAAGTTTTTTTTATTAGATAGACATTTACCTCAATTCTCAGTTATTGAAGATATTCAAGATTATGTCTTACTGTCTTATGCTCATGTTCTGGATTTTTCTTTACAAAATTGACCTGGACCTGAACGCTTAGTTTTTGAGAGTAAAAGGTTCCATTTTTGTTGCTTATTATGTGTCAGTGGATTTATTTATGCTGGATATGCCTTGTTTATGGGTTATCGGACATTTTTGGCTTTTGGCCACAAAAATGGCTAAATCTTGAAATTTTCTTTATTAAATATATTCCGGAATTTATTTTTTGATATGAAATATTGAATATATTCATTTGAATTTAAATTTGTGTAAATTAAACATAAATTTATAGAAATTGAATTTTGAAAGCAGAAAAATCTATTTGGCAGTGTTCCGACTTTCCATTTTACAATGTAAGGGGCTAAATGAGGTCTATTTTTTTTGTCTTGGTCGTCAGAATATTGTGGCAAATGTGGCCCCATTGACCAAATCTGTTGGGTCATTCAATATGCCTGATACTACCACAAACCAAATTTAAATGTTTTAGCTAAAAAATAGCTTGAGGAATTTGTCTAGATTACGCTAAAATTTAGTTTTGGCGCAAGATTAATTGTTTTCCATTTTACTTTTGTAACACTGTAAATAAAATTCTGTTCCAAAAATGTATCTTCTTACGTCACACTTGGCCGTCAGTTTTGATGGGCAAAATGTTAGCTCCTGGTCTAAAATCCTTGCCCACCCCTGTTCTAACATAACAAAAAATCCTGCATTGTTGCCACTCGAAACATCCCCTTATTTACGTAACCTAATTATAAATATAATTGTGAAATCTCTGTTTCTAGGTTTCTTACTGTACAGTTCCATTTCTCATTGTAATTTATTTATTTATTCATTGTCCGCAGACATGGATTTAAAAATTATACTTGTTGCTATGACGATGGTTGCTATGATTCATTGTGAGGTGAGAATAGTTTTAATTAAATTATGACATTCTTTTTTTTGTTTGGGAAACTGCGTAATTTACTAATTTAAATTTATTTTTATATCGATTTCTAACATCTTATATTGTCATAAATATCAGGAAAGTGGTCATTTTCGTTGTGAAATAAAATCAATGAAAATTACTGAAGCACGACTTGTCAGAATAGTTGCACTGTAACAACAGTGTACCCATGCCGTCAATTCTCACTGTAGGATTTTAAACTTATTCAAACTAGAAATCACTGAAGCATGACTTGTCAGACAGTTCCATTGTAACAACAGTGTACCCATGCCGTCAATTATTAATGTAGAATTTTACCCTTATTCAAACTGAAAATCACTTAAGCATGACTTGTCAGAACAGTTCCATTGTCACAACAGGGTATCCATGCCATCGATTTTTAATGTAGAATTTTAACCTTATTCAAACTGAAAATCACTGAAGCATGACTTGACAGAATAATTCCACTGTATCAACAATATACCATTTCTGACCATCCCTGATATAATTTTTTTTTTCAGGATTGCAACACCGAGCTTTCTGAAACTTCTGGAGTGATAGTATCGGGGAAATACGGACATGGCATCAACTGTTCTTGGACAATAACTGCTCCAAAAGGTATTTGGATTTAAAAACTACCAATATTGGTTTTTCGCAACTCTTTTCACCCTGAAATTCAAGACTTCGTAGTTCTTATATGACGGTCATTCCTTTTGCCTTATTCCTTTTGCTTCAAAAGAGGCTTCATTCAAGCACCAAATTAAATCCATAATGATATTCGGAATTCGGATATTGTGCATTCCTTACTAGTTTATTATGATAGGATTTAACATATTTATCCCGGGGAGAGATGAGCCAAATAAGACGGTTTAATCATATGGCGAACCAAGGCCCCTCGTCCGGCTATCAGTACATGTTTGGTATGGGATTAGTTAGCCAGCTGTTTGTCTCAGATGCAAGGATTACGTGAACCACCCACAGAGGCGAGGAGTCCAGCGATTCTCCAGTGCGGTGGCGAGGGTATTCCTAACACTTAGCACAATACGTCACACTGCTGAGCCCGGTGAGATTTGAGGCACGAGATTTGAACCAGAGATGTGTAATCTGCTATGTCGACACAGTCAAGTCTAACGCTTCATTCGTCAGACCGTTGCGCCACCCTAAATGACAACTCTCTTGTTTTTCATTCATTTCTGTAGAATATCAATTTTGACCTTTGACCCTTTCCAGGAAATTACGTCAAACTGGAATTCAACAAGGAAAAGTTTGATGTCGTCAGCAAGTTCATGTCTTGTAGCCACGACTACGTACAAGTGTTTTACGACTCCGCTATCCCGAGCCCACACATCCAAACTTTCTGCAAATCGTTCGGGAATAAATTTGTCCCGAAAGACGTGATAACAAGCACAACAAATGTTCTTGTCATTAGACTTATCAGCGATACGTTTTTCAAAAACGGGGAGGGATTTGAAGCAAAATACACTGTTGTGGATGAGTTTGGTAAGTTTCTTTTGATTTTATCTAATAGAATAGTAATAATGGGGATCTCTTATTTATCCCAAGGTGAGGAAAGCTAATCAGGTGGCTTAATCATAGGGTGGAATTTTTCATTTGTCCCGGGTGAAAGGAAAGTACTCCCGTAGTATGTGTTCCAGGTTAGGGTTAGGCCATAATTTCAATCTGATTTTCCTGATTTTAGTTCTATTACGAGTTTGGGGACTGTCTGTGTTAACCAAGTGAATATACTGCGTGCCCATAGGTTTCATTACCTTTATATAACTTGATGAAAAGTAGACTAACAAAATTAGTTACCTCCATATTGGTACACATACTTCTGGAGCGCCAAAGGAATAACTACATGATGGTTTTCTCATAAGATAGGATTTTAGTATTTATCCTTCTGGAGAAAAAGCTGACGCGATGGCTTAATTATAGGATAAAATTTTCCTATTTACTCCGGGGAAAGGAAAGCCAATTAGGGTGGTTGTTTCTTATGGTGAACCATGGCTTCTCATCTTGCCAGTCCATCTTTGGTTTGAATTCCATGCCCATCCTGTGTGTAATAGATTGGCAATGTTTAACGAAAATATCATGGTTCATCTAAATCAGCGGTTCCCAAACTGCGGCCCGTGGTAAAGATTTAATATGGCCCACTGAACTTGGGTGAACTAGTTTAGCACTTATGTTTTTACCTTTTTGCTATCTAGATATCGCCAATTGTTGTGTCATTATCACAGTTTAAGTGTATATTTGTAACAGTTCAATTATACCAGTATCTTAATTACATGCATTGGTATCGGCCCCTTGCGGGCTTTCCCCTCTCCTGGGCCCCGAATAATTTTTGCCCCTAGTCAATCAACTGTGAAAACCACCATTGCTCTAAAAAAATTAGCTCAGCGTTTGCTTGTTCAGGGCCATGTTCTGAGCGAAATGAGCATCATATAACAAAATATTTCTAGCCAGTTTTAATTAACTAACTTTTCCACAAACATTGACGATCTTATTCCACTTACAGGCGAACCGATTGCACCTGAAGAAGGAGGTTTTGATGAAGATGACTGGGGGGAGGATACCACGGTTAGTTTGGTTACATTTTTTTGAGGTAGTGGGGAGGGGGGAGATTTAGGGGTAACGCACTTTTGGTGGTTAATTTTGAGGAAATTTGGCGTATTTTACGGGGGGGTTACTTTTTAAAGTAAGCTGGATACTTTAAATGTGGCCATGAGTTGCAGAATTAATTTTTTGTTCATATTTTCTCGTTCCAATTTACCAGACAGCGTGGCAATTTTTAAAATACTTTTTATGGGATGTTTCTTTCCAGAGAATAAATATGAAAATCTTATCTTTGGAATCTGGCGTTGCTAGATGTGGTGATTAAATAATCTCTGGTAGAAATTGTGACCCTTAGAAATGCTAGTCCTGGATATTTGGTGTTGCTTTATATTTTTATTCTAATTACTCTTATGTTTATGTTTTTAATCGTTTTTGCATGTTTTGTTTGGTTTGAACTAATTTTAACCCTAATTGGTTTGAATTTACGGCAATAACTGTTTTCCGGAGCGAGGTTTGCATTATTGCTTACGCTTTTATAGTAAGTTACTCAGTCACACTCTCGCACGTTCCGAGAGTCTCGAACTCTAACAGATCGTTCGCTCAAATAACCAAACTCAAACGTAGAAAAACCAATGAGAATTCCCAATGTAAACTGACTGTTAGTGAGACTTGCTCATAGTGAAATTGTAATTGGCTCGTCAATGGAACCACCATATAGGTAAATTCGATTTTTTTGACTGAATTTTGATTGGTGATCTTGGTTTCTGAATGCTCTATCCTCGATGATAATATAGTTAGTCTATAAATTATTCGCTCCAGAGTTAGAAATGACATTGGCAAATTAACTAAAAAACGTTTTCATTTAAATTCTGGATTGTTTTACTTAAAATTATTATTGAATCGAAAATCGGATGGAAGGCTTCGAAATTGTGTTTCTCTCACAAAACTTGCAAAAACACACAAAATTTGCATTTTTCAAAATTTTGAATTACATTGGGGATTCTCATCTGGTACTAGGGTCGACTCATTGCTGGAAAATATGGACTACCTATGAAAGATGAAGGCAAAACCAAGGTCGAAAAAGATTGGGATGGAAAAAAAGTGCCCACATTGGGATCGAAATCAAAGGATAGCAAAAAGAAAAACAGAAAAGGAAAGAAACGTCGGGGTAAGAAGGAAAAGAAGAGCAAAGAAGAGAGAAAACTGGAACGTAAACTTCAACGACAAAAAATAAAAGCGCTCAAGCGTAAAGCAAGGAAAGCCGAAAGAAGACGCAGATCAAAATCAAAAGCTTAAAATGGGTTTTAACCCTTTATCTACATATAAAAAAAAAAACGTCATTAACCCACATACCGCTACTAACAACTCATGGTTTACTACGGCAACCATCTTTGCAGTCTCCATCCAACCTGGACTTGTAATCACATGGAAAATTGCATATGATTAAGTCGTCTTTTCCGATGGTCTGAACAACTTTTTTTATCCCCCTTATAATAATGTCATAATTTTTTTTTAAAACATGCGAAATTTTTTTCTTAAGTATCGTTGGGAAGCTTGTTTTAGCCTCTTCCCACTCACTGTCACACATAGGCTTAATCGGTCTTATCGGCTTTCCTCGTTGCTGAGACAGAGACTGAAATCCTATCCTGTCTTACCCGGCTCCGACAAAACAAATTTGCTAGTGAGCATCATGAAAGCAATCTTGGTGTTTCGAAAAGTCAGCGCTCGCATTTTAAACGCTCTGCACATTGGTTGTTATGTATATATATTACGGGATTAGGAATTGATTATTTTGTTATTCAATCGGAACCCTAAATATCGAAATTTGAATTTGTATTTCAAATTTACTGATCAATTAATTTTAATTATTTTGAAATATCTAATCTTAATAATTTTCCAAATGTTGAAAAAATCATGTTAATTTCTACATTTTTACGTTTCAAATATTACTAACTTATGTCAGTCTTTGTTGCATTCCTCAGGATTTCCACTTTTCTATATCTCTGTTTGAAATAATTTTTAATTTGAATGCTGAATACCGGTACGGTGGTATCAAAATTTGATTTTAATTTGAATCTCACAAGTTCATAATTCATTAATAAATTCAATTTTATAATTAAGAATTGATTAATAAGTTCAATATTTATAGATTGATTAATTTTATCAGAACTACTCTACCTAACTTCTAAAACCAAAAGTTGACGGCTTGGACCTTTTTTTGAACAAATTTGCAACTCTTCTATCGGTACTCTTTCACTTTGAGTTAAGTGCTCGGGAAGGCTATTTACTAGGGGTCAGCAACCTTTTGTCACTCGCGGGCCAAAATGCAAGTCTTGGCACATATTTTTAGAAAGTAAAAAACCAAGATGGCCAATGACTCGAAATTTTTTCACACAGATTAGAAGAAGAAAATTAAGGAGACTGCGACAACATGTGAACTCATCCTAGTCGTCTTACTAAAAGAAAAAAAAAGTTACAAATGACATATAATAATGTGATAATTATTGTTGATTAACATCAGTGAGACATCTCTCTAATAAATATGGATTTTATTTCCCCATTGCATTGAATACTTTCTGCGCTATTGGACCAGCTTCACCAAGCATCAACTTTTCTGCGCTTTGTTGCCGTTTGTCTAATTATAATTAAATTGTAAACTCGTTGAATGAGTAGCTAGCTGTTCACTAAATTGTTAGGTTATAAATAATATAATTTAATCTACAAGTTCTCACAATAAAGTCTCTCACGTGAAGAATATAGTCGTAGAAACATTTTTTTTTTAAAACATTGGTCGCGGGCCGGATTACTTTACTCTACAGTCCGGATCTGAGCCGTAGGTTGCAGACCCCCTGCTACATACCTTCGTTTGAGCAAGCTTGCTAAAAACTTACTTTCGTTAATATCTACCCCTCGTTCTGAACTGTTATATTTTTTTTTATATCTTTCCTAATCTTATCAACTGTATCTGTGACTCTTATCAATGTGATATTCATTCCGTAACTTTCTGTTTCAAGTTCAAAGGTCATTGTGAGTTACCTTTCTGCTTCATATATCCTGTGTTTATCTGGTGCCAATCTATGCTTTCTCAAAATCACTGCTTTTTGTGTTTATCCAATGAATCTGTAATAAATTGATTTTGCACTGAGATATATTTCTAATTAATGGATTTATTTGGAGTCTGTGTGATTTTAAGTTTAGTTCTCACTGTATTTTATTGTGGGCAAGTTGATCCAGTGTTGAGGTCTCGAGATGAGATGACTTGACTCTGACTTTAATAGCCATTTATCAAAGTTTGGGGTGGACTAGGGTATTGTGTATTGAACTGCAGGTCCTTTCTCCTCATTTACTTTCTATTCCGGATCCGTATGAGGTTGTTGCCACAAGGATGCGTGACTGAGATAGTAATATAAAGATAAATAATCTCTTTCCACGAAATATCAAGTATATTTATGAGCTTTCGTTAGATCATAGTCTAACTTCTTCAGATAAAACAAGATATGGCTGCAAATAATAAAGATTAGTAATTAGTTAAAAATTGTAGGATTAAAATTACAGAAATACATTGGTCGGTTAGGTCTATCTCTACTGTGCCGATTCAGAGATTGATACTGGGGGTTTCCAGGTTTGTCCATTTATATGTGTTCTAATGTTTCAATTCGAAGTTTGGTCGACAAGTTTTATGTACTACTGGGCCGCATTTGGCCCGTTTGCCGACTCTTGCTCTAAGTGCTCAACAAACAAATCCAAGTTAAATGAGCAATGGCTGCTTATATACAGCTTTGTTCAAATTATTTAAAGTGTATTAAAAAAAGCAAATCTGAAAAGGCTATCTCAAGTTTGAAAAGGGTAGCTAGTTCGTACTACCGAGAGGAGTTCTTCTCGGCATTTCAATGGTTGCTCCTTTACTTCAAGAGTGTTTGCGCATGTGCATGATGATTTGAGGTGATTTTTTGGTGCTCCCGTAGTATGTGAACCAAAATGGCGGGCACCGGAACGTAGTATGTGTACCAGGTTAGGGTTAGGCCTAATTTCAGGTTCAAATACTACAGGTGTCACTTGGCTAGTGCTTCCCAAACTTGTAATAGAACTAGAATAAGGAAAACTGGGATAAAATTATGGCCTAACCCTATTCTGGTGCACATATTTCGGTAGCTCTGATTTTTTTTATAAAAAAAGATTTTGACACCATACAAGGCTTTCGATAAGCAGACACTGTAAAAGTGAAAGGCCATTGCATCTTGCAAAGACTTGAATTATTTCTTTGTTCAGAGCTCAAGCACAACAACTACCGCACCCACGACGACGCCTACAGCATCTTCAACCACCACAACTGCTAGTACATCTGCAACAACTACCTTGATAAGCAAAATCATTTCTTCAACTACTGCTAGTACCAAGGGAGGGGAAAGTGCCTCTAAAAGCTCAACATTGCCAAGCGGTGGTGATGACGGAATATCCGGAAATGCAGGTACCACTAAATTATTATTGATATTTAGTTTTATTCTTTATTACTTATCGATTTTAATCGGTGAGTGTGTTGATAGGTATTGTCTGTTAGATACACGCGATATCTTACGAAAGCGAGATTGAATCTGCTCCAGATTTTGCATGTGCATTCATCATATGTCGTACCAGAAGCCTATTGATTTTGGGCGAATTATATCGTATAATTGGCGAGTTATTAATTAATTAGTGATGGGACACAAGGTGTCACTATGGAGTAAGAGCGCTGTTTTGGGGGATCCCCTAACTTTCGATCGATAAGTCTTCGGTCTCTGACCGATATTCTAGTTTTTGGGCTCCTGAAGTATGCGAACCAAGATGGCGGACATCGGAATGTAATATGTGTACTAGGTTAGGGTTAGGCCATAATTTTAGGTACAAATACTACGAGAGGCACTTGGCTAGTCTTCGAACTCATAGTAGGACTAAAATAAGGGAAATTGGAATAAAATTATGGTCTAACCCTAACCTGTTACCCATGCTACGTTTCGATGTCCGGCATCTTGGTTCGCATACTTCAGGAGCACCCTAGTTTTTCTATTGCTATGAATATTTATAGTGTCAGTGGCTTGATCAAGAGTCGTGAGTTATGAAAAGCATTTCAAGCAACGGAAAACTGCTATGTATGGTGCTGAAAAATGCTTTTTTTACATTTTAAAGAGGGGTCCGACCTTTCAAAACCCCCAGTCTATGCGATGCCAACGTAGCTAGGGTTGGCCACTCTGGCTCAAATCTTATTCAGATTCTAAAACTGAAATGGGCAGACTATGGCCCGTTGAGTAATTCATTCTGGCATGCCTGATGCAGCCATAACCAAACTAAAACAAAATTTTGATGTTGAGCCAAAAATAGCTCAGGAAATTTGTTGAGATTGCGATTGAATTCAGTTTTGGCGTGAGGTTTATTGTTTTCCACTTTTGTAACACTGTAAATATTGTTCCTTAAATGTAACTTTCTACTTCACACTTACATGACCCGCCAGTCTAGCTGGGCCAAAATTTTGGCCCCTAGTCCAGAAACCGTGCCCAACTCTGCTCTAAATCTATTTTTTTGTCCCAGGAGCCATGTCTGGAGCCGTCATTGGTGGAATAGTTGGGATTGTAATATTGATCTTTGGAATCCTGCTCATTGTTGCGTTCGTTCATTGGAAACGAAACAAAAATAAGAGGTGAGAGATTTCTTCAGGGTTTCTTTGTGCTTTTTTTTATATGTGTGTGTATGTGCAAAAATAATAGGCGACAAGGTGAGATATTTATTCAAGGTCTGTGTGTTTTCTTTGTGTGTGTGCAAAAATAATAAGTGAGATATTTATTCAAGGTCTGTGTGTTTTCTTTGTGTGTGTGCAAAAATAATAGGTGAGATATTTATTCAAGGTCTGTGTGCTTTCTTTATGTGTGCTTGTCTGTGCGAAAATTGATTCAGTAATTTTTTTTATATTCATTCGGCTTTTTCAAAACCGATCATGGTAAAGGAAAATGTAGCGCTTCTTGAAATAAGTTCGCAACAACTATAATGGAAAAGAAAAATTTATTTTGCATTCTTTTTAAAATTTTTAATGGTAATGGTGACAAAATGAATTACTGAATATAATCCAAATCTTTTATCTTCTTTCACCACGAAGTGCAACAACCTTTTCCGTTTCAAATTATTGTATTTTTAGTATGGGGACAAAATAAATTACTGATTAAAATTCAAATTTTTTATTCACAGAATCAATTTGAGCGTCATCGAAACACCCGACGGCAAATCCTTGATCAATGACAATAAAATTTACAAAAAGACGAATTATAAGAAGGTTCAGCAAGATGCAGAGACAACAGAGACATTTCCACTGTAAAAAATAAGTGGTAAAAATAAACCTAAATTAGTAGTACGCCCGGAAGAGGCTGGCCAGAGACTGTACCCAAGAATATTGCTGATATTCGAAAAATGCTTTTTAATAATAAATAATTTTTGCGATAATCGTGCATTTTGACGTTTTTTTACAAAGTAATCAAAAAATTATGATCGAAATTTAGTCTAATTTTTTCCTCCTCCCGTTGACTTAAAAAAGACTGTACAAAAATGCTCTCTATTTTAAAAAACTGTAAAATCCTGCATCAAAATAACGGAATATACCGAAAAATACCGGAAAATACCGGAACCCCCCTGACCCAAGAAAAAAATCTCTGGCCTCCCTTTTCCTATGAACCCAAAATTTAGAAAAATTCTTGTCTGGTATGTTATCTTCGTATCATGTTCGGCCACACAAATTATTTTTAATGGCCATTTATGATCCGGTGAAAATTTATCACACGAAGTTATATTATATGCATCCATGTGAAATAAGTGTCTGTATGTGTTTTTTATGTGAAATTGCTTTGATTATTTTACCCCAAAATTTTTTATTCTTATAGTCAGAAAAACCATCTTTATTAGATTAATATTTTTGTCATTATCTTGGAGAGCAAATCTGAGAAGTTTTTTTGAGAAGAAGTTCAGTTGTAAGTCGTGAATTAGTTTAAAATATAACAAATTATATTGGTATGAAAACATGGACTCCGAAATAATTTGGCCTAAAATTGTTCACAGGGCAAAATGAATTACATAGTTTAATTCATGAAGAATACGGTCCTTTTTTATGTTTTGGGGTTTATTGCGTACTGAGAACTCTTAAATTTTCATAAATCACTCTTTTAGATGCAAAATATCCATTTTAATAAGAAAAATCACTTTTCTACAAACCTCACTAGACAATTATGATTACACAATGTTGAAAGATGATGTAACAATGAATCAGAATCAATGCAGTTGCCCATGGTTTGTTACGTCACACATATTTCTAAAGCCATTTGTTACAATAAGCCTCTAGGGCATACACAAAAGTACGCTTCAAAATATCGCTAGATTGTAGTTTGTGTGTGTGTAGTGCTTCTTGTATTACAAATAATGGTCCTCCCCCTGTAGTGTGTGTAACAGGTTAGGGCATAATTTTATTCCGATTTTCCTCATTTTAGTTCTATTACGAGTATGGGGACTGTCTGTGTTAGCCAAGTGGATATCCCCCTGCCTATAGGTTTCGGTCCCTTGTATGAATTGATGTAAAATATGCGGACAAAATTAGTTACCTCCATATTGGTACACACACTTGTGACTTGTGGAGCGCCCAAAAAATAGGGTGGTTGTAAATTTTTGAATTGTAAAAAAAATTATCGATACTGTTTACAGTTTGTGGGCTTCTACTGGTGTATATGAAGTAAAATTCCAATCAATTCAATAATCGATTCAATTCAATAATTAACCAATTCTATTAGGTAAATGAATGACTCTAGGAACAAATTAGTGAGGAATTTGGAAAGTAAGTTTGTGTGATCTTTGTTTGAGCGAATCTCGACAAAATTGTCTGCGTCTTACATCGAAGTCATGGTTAATTCAAAAAACGTTGATTTAGACAAATTGAAACAAAAATCATTGCGCACAAAGACGTCGTTATAATCAATCTATGAGAGCGAATGCTTCGCTCTAGGAACAATTTATTGAGAAATTCTGAAAGTGATTGCGTGCAGCCTTCACTTGAGCAAACGTTCATAAAAGTTGTCTGCGTCTTAGTCCGTTTATTTCATAAAACGTTAATTTAAGACAAATTACTCAAATATCATGGTGTGAC